AGGAAACTTTTTCAAGGTGTCGAAGTCTCGTCCCCCCTGGTAGTCCTTAAGGTCACCAGGCTCGCCGTACCTAGTCCATGGTTGGCATAGTATGAAAATCGAAGCTTCTGTTCCTTACTGGGTTTAAGCTACCCATAAACACGTAAACTTATACCCAACTATGACAAAGGTACTTGATGGTGGGATAGCCCTGGATGCCGAACTTGGTGCACAAAGACTGGCCCTCCGTTGTGCAGTCGACGTCCGCGACGATGGATCCCGGGCTGCCGTTGAACTCATCCATCCTCTGCTGTACTTAGAGGCTCTTCCACTCTTGGGAAGTTTCATTTCTCACGCTTTTGTTTGAGAAGTTACGGCACGTCTCAAACTTGTAAAACAAATCACATGCGCTGGGCTCTTATGGGTCGAGCGTCAGTTTGTCCCAATCGGGCTTCAGCTTCTTGCAGTGGCCTCACCAAGGAGCCAGGAACTTGATGAAGACGCTCTTCCCTGCCGTCTCCGCGTCCCAATTCGCTTCTGTGAGCTCGATTCCTGCGACTCCCTGAAAGAGAGCCGCAAGGGCAAGGGCGCGGAACGCCATGACTGATGGCCACCGGAGTCTGGGAAGCGTAATGGGTCCGGCTGAAAGCAACAAAATTCGCTGCGGACCGGTTTTGGGTGGCTGCAGTTCTCTTGCCTCAACTTGCAGCATTCTGGCTTGCTGAGCTTCTTCTCGGTTGAACGGACGCTGGCGATGAAACCCTCTAGACTTGCACGATGGCATCCTGTTGTCAACCACCCCCCCCAATAGACCCCGAAGACTTGAATCTTAGCCATGTCTAGACCCAAGAGTCTTAGACCTAAACCTTGAAACCCTAAACTTGCTTGAACCCATACTCTGCCGATCAGCTAGGAACCCCTAAACCCTAAAACCCTTCTTACACCTGGACTATGCATACACCCTCTACCCCAAAACCACCCTTTTTTGCATCAGGACTTGTGCAATCGCCTGAATACATAAACCCCAACCCCCCCTTTTCAGCATGGGCTTGGATTGTGTGCCAGCGAACACTCCTCAACAGCAGGGCCTTCTCGTTTGCCCGAAATCCCCCTAAAAATCCTAAACCCCTAAACGATCGGCCAAGAATCTTGAGAGAAACCCCTAAACCCAAAAAAAAAACCCTAAAAATCCTAAACCCCTGAACGATCGGCTAAGGAATTTTGAGAGCAACCCCTAAACCAAAAAAAAAAAACCTAAAAATCCTAAACCCCTGAACGATCGGCTAAGGAATCTTGAGAGCAACCCCTAAACCCAAAAAAAAACCCTAAAAATCCTAAACCCCTGAACGACCGGCTAAGGAATCTTGAGAGCAACCCCTAAACCAAAAAAAAAATCCTAAACCAGTGAACGATCGGCTAAGGAATCTTGAGAGCAACCCCTAAACCCAAAAAAAAAACCCTAAAAATCCTAAACCCCTGAACGATCGGCTAAGGAATCTTGAGAGCAACCCCTAAACCCAAAAAAGAAACCCTAAAAATCCTAAACCCCTGAACGATCGGCTAAGGAATCTTGAGAGCAACCCCTAAACCCAAAAAAAAACCCTAAAAATCCTAAACCCCTGAACGATCGGCTAAGGAATCTTGAGAACAACCCCTAAACCAAAAAAAAAAACCCTAAAAATCCTAAACCCCTGAACGATCGGCTAAGGAATCTTGAGAGCAACCCCTAAACCCAAAAAAAAACCATAAAAATCCTAAACCCCTGAACGATCGGCTAAGGAATCTTGAGAGCAACCCCTAAACCCAAAAAAGAAACCCTAAAAATCCTAAACCCCTGAACGATCGGCTAAGGAATCTTGAGAGCAACCCCTAAAAAAAAACCCTAAAAATCCTAAACCCCTGAACGATCGGCTAAGGAATCTTGAGAGCAACCCCTAAACCCAAAAAACAAAATCCTAAACCCCTGAACGATCGGCTAAGGAATCTTGAGAGCAACCCCTAAACCCAAAAAAAAACCCTAAAAATCCTAAACCCCTGAACGATCGGCTAAGGAATCTTGAGAGCAACCCCTAAACCCAAAAAAAAACTAAAAATCCTAAACCCCTGAACGATCGGCTAAGGAATCTTGAGAGCAACCCCTAAACCCAAAAAAAAAACCCTAAGAATCCTAAACCCCTGAACGATCGGCTAAGGAATCTTGAGAGCAACCCCTAAACCCAAAAAAAAACCCTAAAAATCCTAAACCCCTGAACGATCGGCTAAGGAATCTTGAGAGCAACCCCTAAACCCAAAAAAAAACTAAAAATCCTAAACCCCTGAACGATCGGCTAAGGAATCTTGAGAGCAACCCCTAAACCCAAAAAAAAAACCCTAAGAATCCTAAACCCCTGAACGATCGGCTAAGGAATCTTGAGAGCAACCCCTAAACCCAAAAAAAAACCCTAAAAATCCTAAACCCCTGAACGATCGGCTAAGGAATCTTGAGAGCAACGGCCCTAAACCCAAAAAAAAAACCCTAAAAATCCTAAACCCCTGAACGATCGGCTAAGGAATCTTGAGAGCAACCCCTAAACCCATAAAAAAAACCCTAAAAATCCTAAACCCCTGAACGATCGGCTAAGGAATCTTGAGAGCAACCCCTAAACCAAAAAAAAAACACTAAAAATCCTAAACCCCTGAACGATCGGCTAAGGAATCTTGAGAGCAACCCCTAAAAAAAAACCCTAAAAATCCTAAACCCCTGAACGATCGGCTAAGGAATCTTGAGAGCAACCCCTAAACCCAAAAAACAAAATCCTAAACCCCTGAACGATCGGCTAAGGAATCTTGAGAGTAACCCTGAACCAAAAAAAAAAACAAAAAATCCTAAACCCCTGAACGATCGGCTAAGGAATCTTGAGAGCAACCCCTAAACCCAAAAAAAAACCCTAAAAATCCTAAACCCCTGAACGATCGGCTGAGGAATCTTGAGAGCAACCCCTAAACCCAAAAAAAAAAACCCTAAAAATCCTAAACCACTGAACGATCGGCTAAGGAATCTTGAGCCCGGCCACCAGGCCGCGTAGCCGAGCATAATGCGCAGAGGGGGCTCCTCCTCCTCGCAGGCCGCGGCTCTCTCCAGGACTTCCTCGATCTTCCTTGTGTCGCAGGTTTTTAGGGATTTAGGTTTTTAAAAAACCTATGCCTTCCTCGATCTTCCTTGTGTCGTAGGTTTTTTGGGGGTTTTGACACTCACACTCGGACAAGCCTGGCAAGGTCTGCAGATGTAGGTTCGACGTGTCACGTTAACTCTGTAAGCCGATTCACTTACAGGCCAGCTGTCAGACACAACCCGCAATACGCCTTTAGGGTTATCCTTCCCTCCTACGTAGCAAGGACAAAGCCCGCATTGCAGCGCTGAGGGTTTACGGGTTTGGGTAGTTTGGGCTTTTGGGGGGTTTAGGGTTCCTTTTTTCTGCTTCAAGTGTTTAGCCTCCCTCCTCCCCCAGTTGGGTTTAAGGGAGTTCAGGATCCTATAGGAGGTTCCGGTTTAGTAGTAACAAGATCCCAGTTCTAGTCTCTCCCGATAGTTACAGTAGGAAGTATACTGTACTATGCCCCAGAAAGCGGGGGGCTGTAGAGACCTTCAAAACTCCTATCACACTTAGACTAAACCCTCATAGTCCTACAGTCTGTTTGCCTAGCCAGCCTCCTACTCCCATGGGAGCCTCTGCTGAATAGTATACCCAACCCCCCCACCCTCAGGGGAAACCAACCTATAGAGGTGGAATACCCCAGCCCAAGAAAATATTTTCAATTATGGTAGGGTTTTAAACAATCCCAGAAGGTTAAAAGGTACCTACTCAGCTACTATAGGTACCAGGGGCCGGTCCTCCCCTCCCCCCCATCCCAGGCCCCACATTTCTGCCGAGGGACCCACCGAACCAAACTCCCGGAGCGACCTGCTGAGCCTCTGAGACATCCGGGAAGCTGTGCACCCAATCCTGGTCGGCTAGGGGCTTAGGTCTTGTTGCTTCTTGGGGGAGGTTTAGGCTCTAGGGTTCTTTGGGGGGTTGCAGTGGGTGCCCAGTAGGATGATACTAGCTTCTACTACGATGGCTTTGCTCTTGAGGGTCCTCTATGACTGTATGACTCGTTGTTCTTTAAATTGGATTCTCAACACAGGGTTCCCTTATACAGTTTCGACACAAGTTCCTGCAAGAACTACAATACATGCCCTGCTTATATATCTATCTATATATATATATATGTATTCGAAATTGCAATTCCTCTTCTTGTTTGAATTATCATTCGTAGTAGTAGTAAGTAGTAGTAGTAGTAGTAGTAGTAGTAGTAGTCGTAGTAGTAGTAGTAGTAGTAGTAGTAGTAGCAGTAGCAGTAGCAGCAGTAGTAGTAGTAGTAGCAGTAGCAGTAGTAGTAGTAGTAGTAGTAGTAGTAGTAGTAGTAGGAGGAGGAGTAGTAGTAGACCTGGACTTGTGGAACAGCTCCTGCAAACACAACCTTGCGGCCAAGTGACGATATTGGCTTGTAGCGAGCTTCCAACAATGACCTGCATGGCCCAAGCGCTTCTGACAGTTTCAGCCAAGCAAACCCCACCAACTTCGCGACGGCGGTGGATATCATTACAGTTTTGTGATCTACTTCTTCAGCACTGGGCCGAGATGCGGGGCCGCCACGAAAGACGCGCAGCTCTGCGGCGGCGGGAACTTCACTAAGCTTTTCAGCCCACTTCTTGTCCTGGCAGGAGGTGCTAACTGTTATGGCTTTTGTTTGGCGGGCGTTGGTGGATGCATGAGCTTATGTAATTATGCAAGAAGGAGCTTCTGCTTGGATCGGGGTGGAGTAACGTTCATCTTCTCGGCAATCGAACCTTTGCATGCCCACATGAAGACAAGCAGATGTTCAACCACGCGAGTGTGCGTTATACCGGTATACCGACATACACCTTGGGGTGAACCTGTGCAAGGCACAGGCACGTACACAAACACTAACACATTCGTAAATATCTGTACCTGTATGTA